ATCAATGAATGCTCTTTGAGGTTCTCCACCATCACTTCCTTGTTAACTGAAAACCCTCTCTCAACGGATGCTTGACCATGTGAAAGGACCAGGACGAGTTTTACTACCTCCCATAGATGACGACACTCTGCTTTGTTTGATAAATGCTCCTGGTAGAATTCATCCAATCTTCCACTTTGTGGGTTGAAGTCCCTGAAGGAATCTGACGCTGACATCAGGCTGTGGTCATAGAAGTGACCAAACTCCCTAATGATCTCATCGCAACATTTGTCTTCAATGCGGCCAGTTTCCACAAGGAGCCGCAGAACAGTTGTGAGTTTTCGTGTGCTTACTTCTTTGCTCTTGAGGAGCACCCTTGGATCCAGAACAGAAGTTTCTTACAAGGGGATATTTGAGTGGAGCCTTTTCAAAAAGCTTGAAGACCATCTTCAGCAAAAACAGCTTGCAATTCTGTCTGAACTCCAGCCTCAACCTCTCAGCACCTGAGTTCTTCTTCATGTGTTCCTCCAGACCTCGCTCCGTGACAAATCCCACTCTCAGTTTGGTGACATCCATGTGGTTGACCGGGTCAGTTAAGTCAACTTGCAGAAGCTTGACTGTGGTAGTTGCATTATTCATGACACTGGGCTTGATAAACTTCTCCAATAGACTCATCAGTATATTAGAGAGATCCTGACTCATAAATGGCAGCATCGGTTTATCAGTCTGGTATAACTTCAAAAAAGGTGTGACTTCCCTTGCCACCATTAAAAATAAGTTGAGCTTTGCTTCGAAGAGGTCATCTTCAACAATCATCTGAGCAGTCTTAAAAGACTTAGTAGATGGTTCTGTTACAGTTTTCATTTTGGCAGCATCGATGTATATTTTTAGAGAAGGCTAAATCTGTAAGGCACGCTCAGCTACCTCCACATTTTCAAGCCATCGATGATGACAGAAGTCAAGAGGGAAGGATGAGGTACCAGTAACTTCTGTATAGTCCTCCCTACGAGCTGGAACATCCTTGAAAAGCCATTTAAGGGCTGACAGAGCATTTCCCAGCTCCCAGTTTGTGGCTGCACACCCTGCTCTAAAAGGAGTTGTGTAGTATATGCAAACCACAGCTTCCTACATTTAGCATTTTCTTGCCGGTTTGTCCTTCAATGTTTTGCTGGGCTATGGAGAAGAGTTTCCAGTTCACATTTGGGCCGTCCATTGACAGCTGAATCAGGTTTTGGAAGCCTATATCCAAGCACACTGTCTCAACCTTCTCATAGATTTGTGCTGTAGTGTGATGACCCATGAAAAACGATGTCAGATACCTTGATTTTACTTGGTTATCATTCCAGAATCTAATGTGGATGTCAAGCTGGCTTTTCTTCATTTCCCGATTCAGACTTTCATCGAACAGAAGAACATATCCAGACTCTTTCTTGGCTTTGGCCTTCATTATGGAAGAGAAATGAGGACCAATCTCAAATGTAGTGAGATATGCCACTTTATTCTCCCCACAACTGAACTGCTTCGCTACATCACTGTCAGGAAACATTGTCTGGAAAATGGCCCCTGCGTTCTCACATGATTTGTACGAATAGTGGCTGGTTACAACTATTGTTGCCCAACATATTTCTGCTTTGAGTGTTGGATTAGAGCTAAAAAATGATGTTAAAGTGCCTGTGGTCTTGCTGGATGAATTGGCTGGATTTGATGAACCTGCTGATATTAGAGGGGCAACTCCTGTCGCTACTCCACTGGTGGCTTCCACTGTATTAGCTCTCTCTACACTGCTGGTTGCTGATGTGGATGTAGCTGTGCTGCTTGCCTATTGCAGATTCAGTCTTCCCAGCCTGGTGCAGGTCTACAATTTTGTTCCTGGTGTCCTTTGACAGCTCTTTGGTCTTGGCCATAGTGGAGTTTGGAGTGTGAGTGTTTGAGGTTGTGGACAGGTGTCTTTTATACTGATAACGAGTTCAAACAGGTGCCATTAATACAGTTAACGAGTGGAGGACAGAGGAGGACAGAGGAGGACAGAGGAGGACCTGGAGTTTGAAGTCTTCTCATCCAATCTTGATGCTTCTTTCCTAAATAAGATATCATTAACACATATTGTTTATTCATAAAACAGTTATCAGTAAGATGCTGAAAATGATAGTTGTCATTCATGTCGCTGTATGTGTTATTTTATTAAGTTATCTACTTGTTTAACCTCTTTCATGGCAGTAACATGACATACAGTAGCGTACAGTGGTGTAAATTAACTAAGTAAATGTACTCAAGTTAACTTGTGTACTTAAGTACAATTTTAAAATACTTGTACTTTCATTTTATGCAACTGTGTACTACACTTCTACTCCACTAAAGTTCGCCACACTGCTTCCGTAGCACTGCTCCCCCTCCCTCCGGCTGAAATTATGAATGTAAGGTGTATAGTAATCATAGATAACACGGCAGGGTCCGTTACAGTTTGTTTTCATCCGATTTCAAATAAACAAAGTCTTGGCTTTCAGAATATTAAACTTGTTTCGGCAAATTCAGATGATAAATACAGCTTTGAAGCTTGTAACGGCATAATTACAAGCGGAGAACGGAGTAACGTGACGTCACAGCAGGCATAACAACAGCCGGTGTTTCTCCTGAGTGTTTTCCCCGGGAAACAAACACAATACACACAAACGCAAAAATACACAAACGCACACACTCGCGAGCTTCCCCCAGACCAGTACAAACGAAAATATGTTTCCTCCGTTTGAAAGCTAGGAATCTCCTCTTTCCAACAGTGTATAACTCAAAATGTGTCTTCGGGTCAATGCGACTGAGCAAGTTTAGGCACGAAAAATACTACAAGTAGAAATACTGTACATTGCTTTTAAAATCATTCTGTGTGACATGAAACACCACAGGATGGCGACTGTTGCACATACTGACATACGCTCCTCTGAAATTATTGTCACCTGCATAAGCAATTATCCCACATTGAGTTCGCTAACGTTACTAGCTTAAACAAACGTAACATGCAACGTTAGCCTAAGCCAAAATTATCTACTACGGCTTACCTTTCATGTGGCTCGTCAGCGCAGACTCCCATCGAGAACAACTGAATTTCTTTTTGGCAACCTTTGCAGGAGGCTATTCGTTGTGTTGATCCTCGTTTTAGCCATGGCTTGTATTTTTCTTTGGATAGCCAACGCTCGTTAAAACAGCAACCTCCTGGCATACTGTCATCTATATCACTCTCATTAGAATGCCCAGTTCACACACAAAAAAACACTTGCAGGTCGCGCTCATAGCGCGGGAGCCGCAGCGGAGCTGTTTTATGTAGAAGCGAAGCAATTATTTTCTTTAATCTAAAAAGCGAACTATTCAGTCAGACAGCAATTTATTGTAAAAGTAAAGCATTTACATTTTCAAGCACTTTATCTCAATTTCAAGCACCATTCCCAAAATTCAGAGAAGGTCCTCGCTGCAGAACGCGGAATGGGGCGGGGTCGGATAAAAGGCGGGGTCGGACGTCCGACCCCGCCTTGTGAGTCCACATTACACATCAGCTGTTTCCCTACCGCCAAGAAGAAGAAGAAGAAGAAGAAGAAGATAGAAAAACCATGTGATCACCTAGTTGGTCTGTTTGTCCGCGTTATTACATTTGAAGACGATTATACATCATCATCATCATCATCATCATCATCATCATCATCATCATCATCATCATGGAAGGGAACGACCGAAGGTAATAAATTATGTATTATTCGCCCAGTAGACAGTCGCTTCCAAGTTCCTACCTTGTAAGTTGTCTGTATGGCCGTACCAATAAGTTAGCGCAGCATGCTTGGTCTTGAAATGTTCGTAAGAATCCATAGATGTAGAATATCTACATTGTTCATCTTGATGTGTTTTTAAATTCTTACAAACCAACTGAATCGATCTGCTTAAAGAAATAACAACATTTGATTCATGTAGACTCTGATTTGAATGTATTCCATTGTGTTCTTCCTCAGACACCATACCATTCTTACTTGCCTTAACGTCAGCCAAGAGAGTGTCCGAGTTAACCGCTCTGTCGGTGCAACCGAGTTGCTTGTTGATCTGGGGTGACCTGAGCGGGGCGACACTCAGACCCAGGGCCGCCCCTCCCTACAGGCCAATCATGAAACTAAACGAAGTGTTTTTATTTATTTATCAAAATTATAACTACAATCCGAAAAAACAGGGAAAGCCTGGCTTCCCTTGGCCTCCAGGAGAAAACGCCACTGATTTTCAGCAGGAAATGCATTTTATAGTTGTTAGGGAAATTATTGACCTCGACTCCTAGATATGACGTGCAGGACCAACCCTGACGTCTGTTTATCTCCTTTAAGGACATAGGCTGCTTCAGCCATAATGTCATTGTTCCCATTCGGTGACCGGGCAACACTAGGTCACAGATGGTCTGTTGTTGTGGGTGCACTGGGACACTTCCTTCTTTGTTGTTTGTGGACTCCAAGGTATGACATCTTCGAGGCCATAAGTGACGGACGCAACTAACTCAGTGTGCCCAACTGTTTAAACTATCTTATCAAAATATGTTGATGACTCTCTGTGAAACCAGTTAAATGGGCTAACAAGAGAGAGGCGCTCCAGAATTGACGTGGCAACCCACCCGTGCAGTCAGACCGTGACTGCTGTGACTTGTGATGTGAATCTCTCCGGCCGAAACTCCAAATAAATCATCAGTGTTTGATATCAAAGCTCCTGCTCTACCGTGTCTCCTTCCTGAGTCGGTGACTCCCACTGCATTGCTACACAGAAGTTTCCCTTACAATAGTTACCTATTTTATCCATAGGATAAATTAAATAGAGTCATAGGAAGTTTTGAAGGATGATAACAAAATGCTCTCTAGTTTATAATTATGACTGGATCAGGGAAATATCAGAGCCCAATGCTGACTGGGTGTGGTGAAAGACCAAAGTGCATAGACCAAAGATATATTCAACGAAAATACCTTTGAATGTTAGGCCCACGCAGGCCTCTGTGAAACAATTTGCCTCACCTGATGTCCTCTAGGTCGTAGTAGACGTTGCGGCTGGTGTCTTTGATGTAGATGGCCATGTTGGGAGACTGCAGCATCTTCATGGTGAGCTGCTGAGGGAAGGCGGAGACAAAGAGAGCCCGCAGAGCGTCCTCCCCATTGAGCTCCACCGGCAGCTTGACCTGCTGAGTCTGCTCCCCGTACTGCAGGTACATCACACCTGACAGAGCAAACACACTTTAGACCACAGGGGTCAAACACACAGCCCACTTTAGGGTCCAATCCAGTCTGCGGGATGACTTTGAAAAGTATAATAATTTCAGAGAAGACATTACCTACAGCTTTCATATCTTTGATGTACAGTGGGGCAAAAAAGTATTTAGTCAGCCACCAATTGTGCAAGTTCTCCCACTTCAAAAGATGAGAGGCCTGTAATTTTCATCCTAGGTACACTTCAACTATGAGAGACAATTAATTAAAATGTATTTATAATCATAGTGATAGTGATTTATTTAATTTTTCAAGTTCAGTGTACAGCAAAAATAAAGCGATTGGCCTCGCTGTTCCAATAGTTTTGGAGGGGACTGTATTGATGGATCTCCAGGTTATAGTCAGAGAGCCAGTCCCACCAAGCTGACAAACTGTAGCCGATTAAAGAACAGAGATAATGGCTTGCTAAAAGTGAAATCAAAACCTAAAGCCCTCTGCTGTCTGGCTAAGTTTAGGGAGCGCTTAATTTGATATGCAGTGGCGTCTTCCGTGAGAGGAACCCACATTTGAAACGCATTTTGTAAACAGCCCTGATTTCATTTAACTCCCAGCGTTGACAGGCGGGCAAGTTTACATTTACAGTTTGAATATGAAAGCTGAGTGTAGTATAACTCGGAAATAAGTTAGCATTTAATCACTTTCGTTTCTTAGTGTTTTTAATAGACTCCTGAAGTATGGTTAGAGGTTAAGACAACCAAAAGAGATTTTCGTGTTTTTATATGACATCAAATACGTAAATAACCCTAACCTGCAAACTGCAATATAACCCTGCCTGCTCTGCCATGCAAAGAGCATCCCGTGCTCCTGTATCATCTGCATGTATTTATAAAAAGTTCATAAGCCGTCACTGTCATCACCGTGGTTCTTTATAAATTAGCCTTATTACAAAAACAGTGACATTATCAGTGTCTTCAGAGAGCTGGTGGGAACTGCGGCAACTTGATGGGGTCTGTAGGTTTTCTTCATATGCCTACTAGTAGGGTGTGTGTGTGTGTGTGTGTTGTGTGTGTGTGTGTGTGTGTGTGTGTGTGTGTGTGTGTGTGTGTGTGTGTGTGTGTATGTGTATGTGTGTGTACATACCAGGCAGCCTCTCTCTCGTCTGACCCCTTAACCAGCCGACAGGTAGACTTGCTCTTTCTTTACAGCCCCTTGTAAAGGGGGCCATGGGGGGCATCACTGCTCTATCTGACATGGTATCTGCAGTCAGAGGGTCCTGCTGCTCCACCAGGCCCAACACTCCTGCACAGGGGGGGCTTTCAGAGGGGTGGAGACTCCTCTCCTGTGTGGATGAACATGAAGAAAAGAAGGTCCAGAAGGTAGGACAGTGGCAGAGACATCTCATTTAAACCAATCAGAGAATCCTTTGAGTGTCATGTATCCAAACAGAGATATAAAAACACAATAAACCAAGTTAAAGATGACTTTGAGTCAGATTATTATAATTATAATTCACAAAAATATTGTAGTGCAGTCAGATCTTAAATCTGATATTGTGACAGCCTTCAATTGTTGTGAAATATTCCACTTTCAGATGTTGGTTAGAGAACCACAGATTGTTAGGCTTAAACAGCCTGAGGTGACCTTTTTCCTCCTCACTTCAAGGCAGTTTTCTACACCACAGCCAGAATATGCAGCAAGATAAATCTACACAAAATAATACATTCTTCAATTAAGAATGTCTTTTTTTTATGCAGAAGCATAAATAGACTTTAAACATGGCCTTATTCAGATCAATTGTAAGATCACTTTCTAAGCAGATATACAATCCTCTGTGGGAGGTTTGTTTTCACAAAGGTGCAACTTTTTCAAGAGCTCTCAGGTCAGTTGTTTTTCCATGGTCAGCTTACACACCAGGCCAAAGTTTACTGTTACAAAGAAACAATTGCACGCACGCACACACACAAACACACACACACACATTTTAATTCACATCAAAGGCAAATATTTATTCTGCAGTCTGTTTACAGACCTGCTAGAACTGTGTGTGCACACTACACGTAGTGTATCCTGGACCACAGTGGCTGTCTGTAGAGCACCCAACATTCTTTACATTAGCTCTGAAACAGAGGTTTCAATTAAATAATGAGTCAACTTCTGTGCTTTGGCTTTGAGCTCAGTGCTCCACGTTTTGTTTACAATAAAGCGAGTGGAAGTCCCCCCGTTTTATGGAGCACATACAGTATGTCAAAGATAGACAGACAAGGATACAGGGCCTCCGGAGGTTTTGCACGCTTTTCATAAATAAATAGCCACTGTTATAGCTACAGCGGCACCTCTCAGCCTCAGAGGAGCACTGCACACTGCTGGGAATGCCTGATATTCACAACTGATCCACTTTGTGTTTGGAGCCAGAGAGGGTTTGAAACTTGGATTGTCTAACCAAGGCAGCAGCAGGACACAAATCACTGCTCGACACTAACAAGCAACGCTGCTTTTGAAAACTTTTGGGGAAGCCCAAGTGGATCAACAGCTTAACGAAGAAGAACGGCGGGAAACGGAGCTCCACAATGTTTTTGCCGGAAATACAACTGGACAGACTGGACTTTCAGCATTAGCCTCCATCGTGATAGAACGGGACTTATTTATTATTGGAACTGAAAATAATATGATCAAATAATTTAACTCTTCTTGAGGAGAGAAAGGAGGATGGATTTTGTGGACAAATAATCACGAGTATGAGGCTATAATGACTTTTATTTTTGTTATATTGATGCTTCTGCTGGAGATGAAATCTAGGTCTGAAATTCATGGCCCTTGCAGGGCCCGATGTGTCTGGCCAGTCGGACAGACAGCCAAACTCATGATTGTTATTTACCAGGATTCAATCTTTGGAATGCTTTATGCCAGAGAGCAGGGGCGGACTGGCCATTGGGAATACCGGGAGTTTTCCCGGTGGGCCGGTGCCGCGCGTGGGCCAGGGCCCGGAGGGCCAAAAAATGAAATGTTTTTGATTTTGTTTTGCCTAAATCCTACCGGCCCACATTTGTAAGTGTTCCGGCCACTCCCAAGCTCTAGCCAATCAAACCGCGTGCTTGTGTGTCTGGGGCGGGAGATTCATGTGATTGGTTGTTGGTGGAGTTTCAGCCCCCCCCACCGGCAAGCGACAACGCACACCGCTGTGTGTAGGGGCCGTGAGGGGGCCTACGCCCATGTTTTATTCCATGTGTCAAGTCAGGCAAATTGGGTCCAAATGTTATTGCATCAATGATCTGTTAACATTAAAATCACTAAATATATACTGTAACTATTTTGCTCTAGGCAACTCAAGGGCTCAGGTAATGTGATTACTATATGAATAATGGTCCAAGATAACATTAAATGCATAGGGGTTTTTGTTAAGTAACATACTTTTGTCGCCGGCCGGCCGATACATGCCGCGCATTAAGTGGGCCTGTCTGTCATTTAATCCCCGGGCCACTTTTTCCCCCCAGTCCGTCCCTGCCAGAGAGGGTGCTCACATGTATAGCAGCACAAACATGTGAGTGTTTGTGTGAAGCTGTGAGCTGATCAGAGGTCATTATTCTGATGTGACTCCCTGTGTGACGCGTGCTCCTGTAAGCAGAGGCTCTCATCCATGCACGAATACTGAACTGATGTCTGTAACCTGACATATGAACAGATGCATACACAAGCACAGATACAGAGACTCAGCCACAAAAACACTGAGTCACTGCACTGTAATGACAGGGTAAACCACTGGGCTGAATAATGCCCTGCGGCCAACAGACACACATCCACAGCACTCACACACACAGAGCAGACATCTCGCAATAGAGGATGTCATGTATTAATACATTTGCAAAGACCTGATGAAAGACGCTGTTGGATCCTGGCTACATGAAAATGTAGTGGCCGGATGCCTGAACCGCATCAGCCTGGAGGAGGGGGGGACCACAATGTGTCTAAACTAACAGAGATGAGTGTGGGTTGGGGGAGGGTTGTGCAGGCTACGTTATGCAGAGGGGGGTCATACTTGCCAACCCTCCCGATTTTCGCGGGAGACTCCCGATTTCATTGCCCTCTCCCGGTTTCCTCCCGGGGTCATATTCCTCCCGCATTTCTCCCGATTTCTGACAAAATCAGTTTTACTCAGGACTGTTTCCGCTCAGACTTTAATACAGCTACACCATTGTTTGGTTTCCATGGTAGCACGTCTCTTTAGTAGCGTGCGCAACTGAAAGTCTGAGGGGGTGAGGAAGATAGTCACAGAAAACAGAACAAGCATCGACAACTCCACCCTCTGCTCACTCCTTTCCTGTAAAATACAGGTCCAGCCCATATGCTCCATGGTGCTACAGGCCGCAAGGCAGTGCACTTACAACTACAATAAGCATGTTAATGTTAATCTAATACAGCTCCGGCGATCCACTAGCACCCCCCCTCCCCCCGCGGCGGTTTTGAAATGCTCCCGTTTTCTGGGGTCTCAAGGTTGGCAAGTATGGGGTCAGGGTAAGACAAAGATGATCACACCAGAACACTGCTCGAGTAAAGGAGAGTGAAATATGAAATACTGTATAGAGTTATACATTTGAATGGCAGTTAAATTACAAATATAGATAGTGTGAGGGATTAATTTTGTCTTTACTTAAGATATTTGACCTTTCGGCCTGTTGACGTTTTACGACCGAACCCTAAGTCTGTTATCTGTCTTAGGGAATGGGAAATCTTTGCTATTGCTGACATTACCAGTTTTATGACCGGTCAACTCTCGGTCACAAGAGCCATAGAGTCAGATGAGTGATTCAGTGTCTCCAGGTGTTCACGGATACCTTCCCCCAATATGCTGATTAGCTCTCGGTAAACTAGTTAAAGGGCTACCAAGATGCGAGGCTGATCAGAATTGACATGACAACCCACCCGTGCAGTCAGAACTTTTTGCTGCTGTGACTTGTGAGATGAATTCTCCGGCCGATGCTTGTAATAAACTACCAGTGTTTGACATCAGAACTCCTGCTCGTCCTGTATCTCCTTCATGAGTCGGTGACTCCCACTGCATTGCTACACAGAAGTTTCCCTTACAGATAGATATCAGATTTGTGCAATAACGTTAAAAAATGTTTAATGGATATGTTAAATGTATTATGAACTACTTTAATTGTTATATTAGAGAGTGATTCGAACCTAAGTTTATGAAAATACTGTAATAAAAAAAGTATTTACACTGGCGGGGTTGCTGGCATAACTAAACGTATTAGATAAATACATTTCGAGATGCATCGTGTTTAAAGGATTGGATTTGGTTATGATCAGGGGCGGACTGGCCATTGGGAATACCGGGAGTTTTCCCGGTGGGCCGGTGCTGTGCATGGGCCGGAGGGACAACAAATAAAGAAAACAAATTTTAAAAAATGTCCTTCTTTTTTTTTGCCTAAATCCTACCGGCCCACATTTGTAAGTGTTCCGGCCACTCCCTGGAGGGGTGTGGCCCACACCCCACTGGGCTGGGCTGGGCCGTTTTGATAGGCTACCTATGTTCTATCTATCAGATAGTTTCACTTTCACACATCAGGCCCGTAGCAGCTGTCACTGCAGTGAACAATCAGGAGTGAGTGACTGAGAGACCTAGCTGGCAGTTGCTTACAGATGGATAAACAAGCTCCAAAGCGTAAAGGCGTTTTTGTATAGTTTGTGTATACAGTATACAGTATTGTAGCGAGCCCTGGGTTCAGAGGGAGGGACTTGCATGGGGCGGTTGGCAGGGAAATGGGGTTCAGGGGGAGTGGCTGTACGGCTGTACCCGTAGGATAGAAAAGGGGGAAGTGACGTCTGACTCAGAGGTCGCGCGGCTGTGGAGAAGAACGTGTTGCCCACATTCTGTTACTGAGTTTAGGCTAGTTAGCTAGCAGGTTTATTGTTTTGGGTGCAGTCACTTTTGCCTCCACTTGCTGTTCAAATAAATGTTGAAAGAAAAAGTTAATCTGTTTACAGTTCCTTTTCATATGGGTGTTGAGAGATGTATCCATAGGTTTAGTCCCTAATTCTGCTCTCAAAGTGCACCAGATTGATGCATTTAACTTTGTGGTGATTGACATTATTCACCCACGGATCTATGGGTTGGGGTATTGTTCCGCACGGACATTTGAGTGAGCCGGACTTCCTGTTTCCGCCGGTCTTCGCTTCCCGGGCATGAAGTTGTTTACATGTGTGTTCCAATGCTAAATAAAAGTAGAGCTTGTAACTTTGATACCCCGCCTCCGACTCCCGTCTCTCGGCACCACAACTTCAACATTTAAAAAAAATCTTCCCGGGGGAGCTTGCCCCCGGACCCCCCTAGAGGAG